GGAAAACCTGAAGGGAGGTGAGGGTCCGGATCTCCGCGGGGAGTTCATTCCAAAGGGCTGGAGCTGCCACAGAGAAGGCGCTCCCCCGGGTAATAGCCAGGTGGCATTGGCTGGTAGATGGCACCCGGAGGAGGCCGACCCTGTGAGATCTAATGGGTCTGGGGGAGGTAATTGGCAGCAGGCGGTCTCTCAAGTACTCCGGGCGGCTTACAAATACGAAATAAAATAAAATAACACATAGGGGAAAGAGACATACACAGTTTTAAAAAACACACAACATACATTTGGCTTAACTGGGGCTTGGACCTGATTTAAAAAATCAGCAACCCCAGGCCTGTCGAAACAGCCAGGTTTTGGTGGCTTTTTGGAAGGCCACGAGGGTGGGAAGGGTCCGTGAGAAGGTGGGATGTTAAAAAAGATCCCCAAAACAAACTTAACCGAGAATCGGAATGTCGAGAGCACATGTAGTCCTCGGCTTACGGCCACAATTCCTGCTGCTAAGTGAGACGTTTGTCAAGTGAACGTTGCCCCGTTTTACGACTTTTCTTGCCGCGGTCGTTAAGTGAATCGCTGCGGTGCTCAGGTTGCGAAGCGAGCCTGACTAACCCTTCAATTTAAAAATTAAATTTAAAATTTAAAAAATAAATATGAGTTAGCTGTCAGACGTCTGAATTTTGATCACGTGATCATGGGGATGTCGTAAATGCGAAAAAGGTCGTAAGTCACCTTTTTCAGTGCCGTTGTAACTTTGAAGGGTCACTAAATGAACTGTTGCTAAGTCGAAGGCTACCTCTACAGGCAGTTCTCGACTTATAACCATTCGTTCAGCAACTGTTCAATATTCCAATGGCACCGTAAAAAAGTGACTCACATCGGTTCCTCCCGCTTACGACCGCCGCAACCTCCCCACAGTCACGTGACCAAACCGCCGTATCCTGGATCCTGTGACTGCAATCCGCGAATTTCGCAGCTGGTTCGGACAAGCCAAGGAAAAGCTGGATTCGCTTAATGACTACGTGACTCGCTGAAAAACTGCAGTGATTCGCTTAACAACAGTGGTAAAAGGAGGTTGTAACATCGGGCAAAACTCAGTTAACAACAGCCTGGCTTAGCAACGGAAACTCTAGCCCTCCGGGATTATCATAAATTTGCATCCTGCCATATTGGAAAAACTCTATCAACAATGAGAGGGAGAGAGACAAAGCCATCTGTTTCGCTTGTAAACCTTCTGGCTGTATTTTTAAAACAACATACAATTCATTTCCTCATCCCTCTGCATCTCTCTCTCTCTCTCTCTCTCTCTCTCTCTCTCTCTCCCTCCCTCCCTCCCTCCCTCCCTCCCTTTCTTTTGAATGGCTCTTTTCCTTAAAGGAGTCCCAGCGGATGGATGAACAGAAATTTTTCTCCCCAAAGCGTATTCCTTTAATTATATTGTTCTCTCTCTCTCTGTACAATTGCAATAGAAAAGAACATTTGTAGCTTGGGGTCGATAATACAACTGTTGACATATGACGCATAATTCCCCCCCCCCTTCACATATTTTTCAGCATAATTTGAGCCACCCTGCAAAAATCAAAATGAGGCCAAACTATCTATCTATATGTCCCTATCTAATCTATCTATCATTCTATCTCTATCATTCTATCTCTATCATCTATCTATCTATCTATCTATCTATCTATCTATCTATCTATCTATCTATCTATCTATCTATCTCTATGTATATATCATTTTCTCTCTATCCATTCTCTCTATCTCTCTATGTATCCCTATCTAATCAATCAATAATCAATCAATCAATCATCCCTTATCATTCTATCTCTTATCATTCTCTCTCTCTCTCTCTCTCTATCTATTATTCTCTATCTATCCATTCTATCTATCCATTCTATCTATCCATTCTATCTATCTATCTATCTCTGTATCTTATCATTCTATCTATCTATCTCTATGTATCTATCATTTTCTATCTATCCATTCTCTCTATCTCTCTACGTATCCCTATCTAATCAAACAATCATCTCTTATCATTCTCTCTCTCTCTCTGTATCTATTATTCTCTATCTATCCATTCTATCTATCCATTCTATCTATCCATTCTATCTATCTATCTATCTCTGTATCTTATCATTCTATCTAT